GGCCTGGGGTGAGGGGAGCTCCCGGCTGCGGCGCCCCGATTACTTGTATCCTCTGCACCTGCACATCTCCATTCAGTGCGGGCTGGGCTGGGGGCCCGCCAGCTCTGCGCCCTCCAGGGGACGTCGGAGGGGACGGTTGTTAGAAAGAGGCCGAATGTCAAGGGGGTGGGGGGGGACGACATATGTAATACTCTTTGTAATACTTTAAGCAATAAAAAAATAAAAAAGAAAGAAAAGAAAAGAAAGAAAGAGAGAGGCTGAGCAGGGCTGAAGGGTTGGTTGAGTGGCGGGTAGACGGGAGAGACGTGCCCCAAAGCCGCTTTCACGGGATGGTTCTAAACAGGATTTTCAAGGATTCTAGGTTCATGAGATGTTAAGTCCTGAGGACGTTTCCTATTTTGTTTTTTTCCCCGTTAACTTTTTAGGAAAATGGAGGAAATGACACTGGATCTTAAGCACTTCAGCAATGAAGTCCTTTTTCTTTCGTTTTTTTTCTTCCTTTTGGTCATTTTTCTTTCCTTTTCTTTTTTTTCTTTTCTTTTTTTAAATAGAATAAGTTATTGTTGCTATTCAAGCTCTGGTAAGAGACTATTTAAAATAACCTGCCAGATGAGCGTCTAATACCATAATGCGATGACTTTTTCTCACGCTCTTATTGCCGAAGTGGGTATTGCTCAGCTGAGTGTGATGGAGCTCTGGCCCTTAGCGAGGGAGAAGGTGCAGGTGGTCTCAGTAACCGGGCCCATGCTGACCTATATGATAGAAAGTCACACCGGGGAAGCCAAGCCTCACAATCAAACCAGGATATCATTTTGCAATATCAAGTGGTGTTACTTTGAACACACAGAGAAACAGAATGCACTAACGCTGAAAGGCAGCAAAGAGTCAGGCTGGAGGAACTGTAACGAGACTGCTGAGAAAGTTGTGTATCCGTGGACCATCCTAAATTTCAAAGAAAACAGACTGTGACTTCAGTGTAGAGTTGTCACTAGTTAACATCAGAGAAAACCGTTTAACGCAGGCTTGGATGGATGAGCAGGGTTACCTCCTCCTCAAGCGCTGGGTCAATCTCACACTTTGGCCCCTTTAACGCTGATTCCTATAGGGAATGAATGTGGAGGCGTGTGGGGTCTTTTCTATCTTGTTCCTGGGACGCCCAAAGGCCTGGCATTGCAAGAATGTCTTCTTTTCTTTGTCTTTTTCACATACACTTTTAAAATTTATAACAATTTAGGTTTAAAGAGAAGTTGCTATGATAGTATAGAGAATTCCTATTATACGACACCCACTTTCCCCTATTGCTAACATTTTACATTAGTATGATACATTAGTCACAATTAATGAACCAATATTAATATATCATTATTAACTAAAGCGCACACCTATATTTCCTATATTCTTACCTAATGTCTTTTTGTTGTTGTTCCAGGATTTCGTCCAGGATACCATATTACATGCAGTAGTCATGTCTCCTTAGGCTCCTCTTAGCTGTGACAGGCTCAGACTTCCCTTGTTTCTTATGTGAAGTATTTTGTAGAATGTCCCTCAATTGGTATTTCTCTGTTGTTTTTCTTAGAACTAGACTTAATGGTTGTGGGGGTTTTGGGTTGTGTGGTTGTTTTGGAGGAAGGTCACAGATGTATAGTGGCATTTTCATCATATTACCCTAAAGGTACATGCAGGGTGTCCTCAAGAAATGTATACGCACTTTGAATAATTATTCATTCCATGGGTTAAATCTGAAAAGAAATAAACATTAATTGAGCGATCAATTATTGGAATTCTCCTTGGGAGATGTGTCTACCCCTCCCACATTCATTCATTCATTTATTCATTCATTTTTTATATCAGTATGCACTCATGAACATTTATTTTATACTTTGGATAATAGTCCAGTGCTATTTTATTTATTTTAGTGCTCAGGTTATTTCAGCTTTGGCATTGAGTTTTTTCAATTGGTTCCTTATGTCCCTTTGAGATATCCCCACCACACACACACATACACACACACACACACACACACACACACACACACGTTTTTAACATTACTTTTCTTTCTCACATCACAAAGTGTTCCACACTGATCTTGTATATTTTCTGCTCTGGTCCCAGAATCAGCCATAACTCCAAAGAATTCCTGGTTTCTTCCATTGTCAAATGGTATTAGAAACCGAAATCTGGGCAGGAGGTATACTCATTGATGGTAGGGTGTTGTTGAAAAAACAGGAATGTTGCTGTTTCACTCTACAATCCTATTTGTGACTTATCCACTCATGTCCACATCCAGAGACAGAGTGTTGAAACAGAGAGCTCCCATGTATATCAGACACTTTTCTAAGGACTTTCCTGTATATCTCTTTTTAAGGTCTCAGCCAACTCATGAGAAGGAACGTATAACTTCTGTACATAGTGACCCCAAGGCTCAGGAAAGCTAAGTTGCTGGTCTAAGCCCACTTATCGAGGCTGGAAAGAGATAGAACTGGAATTTAAAGACCTGAGAATTTTCTTATGGATAGCTGGACTTCTTATCTTTCTATCTGAGTGTTTAACCCTTTTGCCATCTTTATTCAAGAAAAGAGTGGAGTAGACTTAGTGGAATTAGTGGCTTTCTTATGTTCTAATTACATACTTATATTTTTAACATTCATCCAAATATAACGGAACCCTCTTCTGTCTCAATCTTAGCATGTGTAATACCATGCGTATTCCGTTTTTTATTTCTGTGTGTCTTCCTTTGTAGTCTGGAAGGTTATTTTTGTTCCTGCTGCTGTTATTTAAACTATGCTTTCAGTGTATCTGTTGATATATGGACATTTATTTGTGTGTTTAGTTGAATTATATTTTTATTTCTCACCAAAATGGAAGCTGCACAAGGTGGAGAATTTCTTGACGTTTGCTCACCACTGGAGGAGGTCCAGGGCTGAGCAAAGTGTCTGGTATAAATAAATGCGTGTTAATTTGGGGATGAGTTAGAGTGAGCGGAAGAAATGGGAGAAAATAATGATTATATTCTAAATCATGAAGCCCTAAGTAGGTGGGATGTCAGTTTTCTCTAAGGTGATATTTAAGCTGATACCTCAAAAAACAAAAGAAGTGAATGTTTAGTATGAGGGTCAGGAGGACGGGGGAGAAGATGCCCATGCATTCTGGTATCTTTCATACCCAAGGAGTTGCATGTGAATGAGAGCAGTGTGCTGTTGTTGACTCTGCATGACTGGCAGTAGCTGGTCCTTTGATTGGACTGGAACCTAAGCCAGTCAACTTGGCCTGAATCATCTGTAATCTCTCAGCGGCTGATAAGGACTGGGGGGTGAGGGCGGGCGGGAGTCTGGCTCTTCTGTAAAATTACAAGGTTCCTCCTCTGTGGTGGAACTGACCCAAAATAGCAACTAGGAGAGTTCTGCCCCCTGTAAACATTGTTAAGAACAAAGCTTTATAGTGAATTTGCTGAAGAGAACTGGTTCCATCCTGCCATGGACATCTTATCTGATGAACATAAAGGTCAAACTGGGCTTGCTGGTAGACCTGATAACCATTTCCAGACAGCAACAGAAATGACCTTTTAAAAAAGCCACGTCCTGGCCAGCGTGGATCAGTTGGTTTGAATGTCATCCCGTGCACTGAAAAGGTCACCAGTTCAATTCCCAGTCAGGGCAACATACCCAGGTTTCGGGTTTGATCCCTGGTCGGGGTGTGTGTGTGTGTGGAGGCAACCAATTGCTGTTACTCTTTCACATCAATGTTTCTCTCTCTCTCCCTCCCTCCCCCTTCCTCTCTCTCTAAAATCAATAAAAACTTTTTGTTAAATGGCAAAACAAAAACATCAGCATAAATAGAACCTGGAGTTTCCTAAGGCTGAAAAGACTCATTATTCCTCCACATGAGTAGTTTAATGAGAGGAGCTCATGTGAATGTACATGTGCTTGCTCTACCCATGCTTTCCATCACTTTGGTTCTCTCCTGGGGATCTTTTGGGTGGAGAAGATGTCTTGGACCATAGACACTAGGGGCAGCTTCTATTGTTGGCAAGCAGACTGGCAGAAAACAGTAAAGGCCATCATTTAAAATATCAATTCTTTTCATCTCATATCAAATAAGGGCACTAATTATGAGTCACTACTTTGGTATAGTTGTATTGCCAGATGGATATTTTGAGGAAGATGAGGGTGAGGATGGAAAGGGAGACTCAGAATTGGAGTCAAGTGCTTTTTTTAGCAAAAGCAGAAAAAATAAACTTTAAACAACTTAAAGCTAGGCAATGTTTTCTTGGAAGGTGTTACTGCTAACCAGGCAAGAACTCAGAAGAACAACCCAGCTGTATTAGTTTCTTATTGCTGTAGTAACAAATTATTAAAAATTTACTACAACACGAATTTATTATCTTAAAGGTCTAGAGGTCAGAAGTCCAAAATAGGCTAGCATCAAGATATGGGAAGGTCAGCGTTTCTTCTGGAGGCTCTAGAGCAGAGGTCCTCAAACTTTTTAAACAGGGGGCCAGTGACTGTCCCTCAGACCGTTGGAGGGCCGGACTATAGTCTAAAAAAAAACTATGGCCGAAACCGGTTTGGCTCAGTGGATAGAGCATCGGCCTGCGGACTGAAAGGTCCCAGGTTCGATTCCGGTCA